GTTTTGAGGATTTCCCTATATGACAAGCATTACAAGGAGAACTCGAGTTTTTATGTAAAACAGGAAGAAAGTATTTAGATAACATGGAATTCAAAAGTTGTGCATGTGGATGACCAAGCCGTTGATGCCATGTGTGGACAGGAGCACAGACAACTGTGAAGACACTTCTTGAACCTGGTTGAAATGACGGAAGATGAAATGAGTAGAGCCCATGTTCACTTGGACCTATGAGGAGGGTATTGCGTGAAATCTCGTCCTTCACAACATAAAAAGTATCATGAAATTCAAAGAAAACGTTATTATCATGACAAAATTATTGAACAGAAAGAAGACAACGTTTGATTTGTGGAACATGAAGAATATTGGTTAAGGAAAAAGTTTTCTTCGGAGAATAAAATTTAGTGGAACCAATATGTAAAATAGGTAAGCCATTGCCATTGCTAACATGGAGGGAGTCATCACCATAGTATGGTTCATCGATGTCGATGCTAGAGTGATCTGGTGCTACATGACTGTTAGAGCCGATATCAAGAAGCCAAAGAGTTTGTGCCCGTGAGCGATAGTTGGCATGATTAGTCGAAGGTTGTTGTCGGTTCCAGAAGGTGGCAGGGTCATGATTAGGGCAATCTGATGGAAGGTGGCCAATGCCACACTGATTGCATGTCCCATAGATGGTGTTCTGATTAGAGGCCCAAGTGAATTGTCCTCTACTGTTTCGATTGTTTGAAGTACGACCTCGCCCACATTTATTGGGGAAGCAAACACGACCACGATTGTTTTGAGAGGTGAAAAATGCTTGAGATTGTTGATTGGCAGGTTGTAGTTTGAAGCAAAGTTGAGAAACAAGCTGAGTTAAAGCTTGCATGGAGTCATGTTGTAAGGAGCTTGTTGGACAAGTCGTTCTAGTAGCAGTAGTGTGAAAAACCTATGGTGGTGGGATAATAGGAACCGACTGTTTAATCATGTAATCATGATCAGAAAGAAGCCCATTCAATTCATTGAAGGTTGTAGGAACTTGTCGAGCAAGAAGAGTTTACTTTAGTCCATTGTAGTCGTCACGAAGACCTGCAATAACAAGCATGACGAGATCTTTTTCTTTGAAGGATTCACCGATATTAGCCAAAGCATCAACACACTCCTTTGCCCGATTGAGATATGTTGAGGGTGTTTCGTTGCTCTTCATCTGAATCTTTAGTAATTGTGTTTTTAGGGTATATTCCCTAGAGGATGTATGATGGGCATATGCTCGTTCCAAGGAAATCCAGACTTTGCGAGATGTGGAGGTACCTTGAACATGAGGAAAAGCAGCCTCTGAGATTTTTGAGATGATCAACATCCTGACATGAGCATCGTTAGAGACCCATATAGGATAATTAGGATTTGGCTGGGATGTCGTGCCAGTCTCTTTGTCTGCTGAGGTGGTTTGTTCAACCAGTGGTGATGGACATGGAATGGTACCATCAACATATCCAATTAAATTGTTTGTAATAAGGAATGGATGAATCATTGTTTTCCAGAAACCATAGTTGGTTGGGGAGAGAGTAAATCCGAATTTGTGAGAGTTGTGAGAGGTTTTCTCAGCGGTGGTGAATGCAGCAATCAAATCCATTGTGTAGCCGACAAGAAACAGAAAAAAAGGGGTTGATTGTACCGAGAAGAAAAAAGAACAGGAACCTGTTGTGCAAAATCGTTGATTGCTGTTGAAGAATCAGAAGACTTGTGATTGTGAAGCTTGATCGTTGATTGTTAGACAAGTTGTGTCGATAAACAGAAGAAACTTGTGTGCTGAATTTTGATTTTCAGTTATTGTTTGATCGAAAATAAAAAAGGTTGTTAGGCGCCGATTAGGTTTAGGAATAAATTGGCTCTGATACCATATTGTTCTTGTTTAAATTATCGTGTCTTGTATATATGATCGATGGAATACATAAGATATATAAAGACTACATAATTACACTTTGTACCCTTCTAATACTAGTCTATATCATAACTATCTATTAATGTTAAAAGTCTGGTTCCTATTGATTTGACAAAAGTTGTACTATCAGAAAGAAATATCAAATAGTGTATCTCACATCTGTCATACGGTTATATTGTAACATATATAATAAAAACATCACTCTACATGTGTTGAAACTTCTCATTCAATATTATGTTCATGCCACAATATATTCAATCAAATCATACAATATGTTATAGCTAAAGTTATTTAATTTTCTACGTATGTACTTAAATTTTGGTAGAAAAATTATTTGTAGTTTTTATGTAATCTATGAATGTTTTATGTTTTGTAAAATCTGAATGTAAAATTAAAATTTATACTTTTTAGGGTAAATTACATGCATGGTCCCTGTGGTTTGAGGTAATCTGCGTGGTTGGTCCTTAAGAAGTTTTTTTAACTCGGAAGGTCCTTATTGTTTGTTTTTGTTGTGTCTTTAGTCCCTTGTTGACTTAAAATGACCATATTACCCTTTTGATATCTTTAATAAGTTTTTATTATCATATTAAATTAAAAAAAACATGAGTAAATTACATGAATGGTCCCTATGGTTTAGGGTAATTTGCGCGTTGGTCCCTAACTTATTTTTTTTACCTCGGAAGGTCCCTACTATTTGTTTTTGTTACGCGTTTGGTCCCCGTTTTACCTAGAAAAACTATTTTGCCCTTGATTTTTTGATTTTATAAATAAACAGACCCCCAACCCCACTCCCTCATATTTTTCCCTATTTAAATAATAGTCTTTTTAGGTAAGACATGGATCAAGCACGTAACAAAAACAAATAGTAGGGACCGAGCGCGTAACAAAAACAAACAATAGGAACTTTCCAAGTTAAAAAAATAAGTTAGGGACCAAACGCACAAATTACCCCAAACCATAGGGACCATTCGTGTAATTTACTCAAAAAACATTAATAAAAAAAGAACATGGTTCCACAATCCCAATACTCATTATCGATCACCTAACCACCACCTGCAACACCACCACCATCGTTGGTTTCCTCCACCACCATTGTTGGTTTCCTCCACCTCCACCACTGACATCTGACAACTTTCACCGGGAAAATTGAAACCAGAAATCCACTCACCGAAAACCTACTTGCCAGAAAACCAATCTCCTTTATCTTATTTTGCAAGAACGTCTCCCTGTCCCACCTCCTTCATCTCACTTAGAACACATCGTTCTTTATATTACTAAGCGTTCATGAACAAGGAAACCAAAAAATGAAGGAAATAAAAAATCAATGAACAATTTGAGACAATTTCAACAATCACAACATCATATTTTCTCAAACCCAGAAAAAACACAAATTGAAAATCTGATGAAAATAAAACCGATTACACAATCTGATGAAAATGAAAACACACTTATTGCCCCACCTCCTTCTCTGCCCACCTGCAACTGCCCTAGTGATTAAATATTATACTGAAAGAACAACAAAAACATTTCTCCAACCCCATGTGATGACGATGGTATATTGCAGTAAGGGGAGGATCTTCGCCGACATCAAAAATATGGATCGCTGCCGGAACCTATCGGCATTGAGATGCAGAAACAAACACCATATGCACTCCGAACTCCATCGATTTGCAACATCTGGTTCGTTTTAGGGATTTGAAGTAGGCGGCTTTCAATTTTTTTGGCTTCGAAAAAACAGGTGGGTTTCTGACCACCGCCACTACCACCGTTCGATTGCATATAAGAGAAAATGATATTGTTCCGATCGATTGCATCGGAGATACAACAGAGTTGAGAAACATAGATACACTGCAGCAGACCAACCAGAGATGAGATGCGAGAAGCTTGATGGTGCGAAGTTGAGAAATGGTTGGTTCGCCGAAACCATCCAAGGCAACGACAACTATTTGAGGGTTCTTTCCTTTTATCGAAAGTGTAAGGTAGGTTGGCGGTTGGGGTATCGGGCTATGGTGGTGGGTTTTCTTTTCTTTTTTCCTTTTTTAAAAAAAAATATAAATAAAATAAATGATCAGTAAATAAAAAAGAAACTAATAATGGTAAAAAAGTCATTTTATGTCAAACGGGGACTAAAGACACAAAAAAAAAAAAAACAAACAATAGAGACATTCTAAGTTAAGAAAACTTCTTAGGGACCAACCACGCAGATTACCCCAAACCACAGAGACCAATCGTGTAAATTACCCTACTTTTTATTTATACAGAAAGTTTTACATTAAAATAGAAAAGAAATCTCTGATTCTCCACTGAGGATTTCCGGTCTCCGTTGGGGGTGGAGATGGGGATTCATCCCGCGATGAAGATATAGATTGGAATGAGGATTGGGGTCCCCGATATTCCCTACCTTGTTTCCATCTTTATATTAAGATAATTAATCAATTTAGATATGTATTTTAGAATCATATATCTCAATGGCTTTTACCAATTGGGTTGTTTGTGAATAAAATTAAATATATTTTTTGAATTAATATTATTTTAAATATAATTGTTAACTAATTTAAAAATAAGTTATATACTCAATGTTTTTTTAATTCATTTATTATCATTGTTTCAAATATTTAACATTGTTTTAAGGTGTTGTAATTGTTTAGTTTTTGTTTTTCTTAAGTTACTAATAAGTAAAAACTAAAAACTTTTTCCTTGGAAAATGTTTATTAATATAAAAAACTAGTAACTGAGTCTGCGTTTTGGCGAAAAACTAGCCTGACTCTCCGTCTCCATTTTTGCGTGAGTTTTTACGTGTTTTTGTTGCGTATTAGGAATGAAACTTTTAATGAAACTTTTTAAAAGTGGAATGATTTGGTATGAATGGAAAAAAATAAAATAAATAATGTTGTAAAAGTCTCATATGCTTCAACTATCCAAAGATCCTTTAAAAAACAAGATAAATCAAAATATAAATGGCCATTTTATGAACTTACATGAGTAATTGCATTATGTCTTTTTTCTACTGTTAGATTCTTGATCATGCTTTTGTGGTCCATAACCTAAAAGTTATTTTTGGAGGGCTTAATGTGTACTTTTCAATATATGTTGACCGGTTTGTTGTAAATTCTCGTTGGGTTTCCATTTACTACCGGATGCAGCAGTAAATAAACCCCAAATCCAGATTTTCAGACAAACCCTAGAGAGTCTGAATCGTAAAAACAGGAAAAGGAATCGGAGATGACGACCACCGACGGCACCATCGCCAACTCCGCTACCAAAAACCCTAAAAAGGCCAATCTCTTGGATCATCACTCCATCAAGTACTTACTCGATGAATCTGTATCCGAGGTACACCACAACTTCATTTCCGCACATCTCGAATCAAAATTCGCTAATTCTTTTTGTATGCTTAAGGATTTTATAATCGTTTTTGGATTTATTTGTGTTTTAGATCGTGGCAAGCCGCGGTTACAGTGAAGATGTTAGACTGAGTAATGTTCGATTGTTGATTGGTGCGATCGTTATCATTATCGCCCTGTTTGCTCAGTTTTACAACAAGAAGTTCCCTGATAATAAAAATTATCTCATCGGGTGCATTGGATTATATCCTTTTTGATCTGTAGTTTTTGGATGCATTATGTTTCAAAAATAAGTAACTGAAACTTCCTATATGCTCACATTTGCTTTTTTTTTTTTTTTTTTTTCCTTTTTTTTATGCATGATGAATCCATTATACTGTCACTTTTTCAAAATTGAGTGTGTTTAATCCTTGACTGTTGCAAGTATGTGATATTCAACGGGATATTGCAGCTGATCATCTACACCAAGGAAAAGAACGCAATTTTGTTTACATATCCTCCAGCAGTAAGTTTCTTTTCTCTTTTTCAGTTATAATTGAAACCCTTTGTTCTAGCGAGATTATTCATAGACAACAGTTCAATCTACTTTTGAATTTTATAGATGGTGTATTACTTCAATTGTTCATTGCTTAGTTATATCCTTGCATCAGAATCAAACATCTATAACATCTCTTTCTATAAAGGTTTTATTATCTCATTATGTAATATTTTGACAGGGGTCTGCTTACAAGAGCACTGGGTTGATGATATCTTCAAAGTTGCCCAGATTCTCTGATATGTATACACTTACCATAGCCAGTGCAGATCCCAAATCTATTTCTGCAAACCCAACAGTGGAGTTCACCAAAAGTGTTACAAAATGGTCTCTCTCTTAATCTCATATACCTTATGCAAGTGCTGTAGTACAATTACAGTTTTGCCCTATTATCTGTTTCTAAAGGTAGATGGATGTTTTGCAGGTTTACAAAGGATGGAGTGTTGGTGGAGGGTCTTTTCTGGAAAGATGTTGAGGGGCTGGTGAACCAGTATGCCAAAGAACACAAGAAAAGTAAGTAAATTTAAGTTTAGAAATTGAAGAAAAGTAGTAATGGTGCGGCTGATGATACTTGTTTTTTTTTTTTTTTTAATATCTAAAGATGAAAGCTTGAACCTTATGATATTGAAAAAATGTTGGACAAACGCATTTGAGCTTTAACTTTCATATAATTTTAGTGAAATGGGGAATAATATATGACATTTGAGGATGCTTTATATTTCTATGTGGGTATCGGGCTATGGTGGTGGGTTTTGTTTTCTTTTTTTCTTTTTATTTTTTTAAAAAAATTATAAATAAAATAAATGATAAGTAAATAAAAAAGAAACTAATAAGGGTAAAAAAGTCATTTTAGGTCAAACGGGGACTAAAGACGCAACAAAAACAAACAATAGGGACCTTCTGAGTTAAGAAAACTTCTTAGGAACCAACCACGTAGATTACCCCAAACCACATGGACCATTCGTGTAATTTACCCTACTTTTTATTTATATAAAAAGTTTTACATTAAAATAGAAAAAAAAATATTTGATTGCCCGCTAGGGATTTCCGGTCCCCGTTGGGGGTTGGGGATGGGGATTCATCCCGCGGTGAAGATATACATTGGAATGAGGATCATGGGATGGGGATTGGGGACCCCGGTATTCCCTACCTTGTTTCCATTTTTATATTAAGATAATTAATCAATTTAGATATGTATTCTAGAGTCATATATCTCAATGGTTTTTACCAATCGGTTGTTTGTGAATAAAATTAAATATATTTTTTGAATTATTATTATTTTAAATATAATTGTTAATTATTTAAAAATAAATTATATACTCAATGTTTTTTTAATTCATATATTATCATTGTTTCAAATATTTAACATTGTTTTAAGGTGTTGTAATTGTTTAGTTTTTGTTTTTTTGAAGTTACTAATAAGTAAAAACTAAAAACTTTTTCCTTAGAAAATGTTTATTAATATAAAAAACTAGTAATTGAGCCTACGTTTTGCCGTGGGTTTTTACGTGTTTTTGTTGTGTATTAGGATCGAGAATTGATTAAAAAGTGACATTTTATAAAGTCAAAGTTGAGGGGTCAAAGTCACATTTAAAAAAGTAAAAGGGTGAAAAATGTATTTTATAAAGTAGATGAGTAAAATTCATATATATATATATATATATATATATATATATATATATATATATATATATACACACACACACACACACTACGGAGACGTGGTATTAACACGAAAGTTTAGAAAACGAAAGGGTAAAAGTGATATTTTACAAAGTTGAAGGTGGAGGGGGTGAAAAGTGAAATAAACACGAAAGTTTAGAAAACGAAAGGGCAAAAGTGATATTTTATAAAGTTGAAGGTGGATGAGTGAAAATAATATTTTAAAAAGTAAAGAGACGAAAAATATCATTTTACAAAATAGAGGGGTTGCAAATGATGGATTATATAAATTTAAGGTATTAAAGTTGCACTTTATGCGTTAACCACTTGTACATTGTGCATGACTTGATTGTACTTTTGCTACAGTTGCACTTTATGCATTAACCCCTTGTACATTGTGCATTACTTGATTGTACTTTTGCTATAGTAAACTTCTCTCACAAAAAAAAGTTTACTTTTTGTATATATTTATAATGTTTTTTTTAATTAATTTGATATATAGTTAAATATTAACTAGAGAGTTTTTTTTTCTCGCGCGTTGCGCAGGTTTGATTAATATCCAAGTGAACAACGCAACCTTACTCTAATCAAGCCACATGCCTTCAAAAATTACTTGTAGTCTGATATGTATTGTCGTTGCTCCTCTTGAGCTTATGCTCTCTCTTAGATCTTAAAAAAAACGTGACATGCACAAAGGAATAAGGATAAAGATCTTTGTGAACTCTTCTTTTGCTTTTATCTTCCTCAAATGCCTCTCCTCGACCTCCAATTTATTTCTCTGCATCAGATACTATAAAAACAAATCAAAATGAGACCAGAAAAGAGATATACATACAAGTTGCATATACATCATAAAGCCACCAACGAAAGGTTTTACCTCTGACTACTTCTATTACTAAATGTTTATAATGCACCATATATTTTATCATCCACAACTTTCTCCTTTAAGTGTGTTGTGTTCACTTTTCCAGTTTCTAAGCAGTTGGCCTGCACAAGCTTAGTTCCCAAAGGGTAAAACAGTAATTCCATTTGCACATCATCTTTCTGCAGGTGGTTATTGTTTGCTTAAAGTATTTATTACCTAAAACACAATTCCATACTCATTGCCACAGAAACCACCATGAAACACTATCCTCTTCTTCTCAAACTCTTTCTCATTTCTGTCGGTCTTATGTATATTTTTTATATTTTCAATTTCGTTGAGACTTACTACATTGTGATTTTTATTAGGTAACTGTTCAACTGGAAATGGTACAAACTATGGAAGCAAGAAGTGTATCACATATTAGTGATTTTTTAAAAAAAAAACAAAAAATCAAATGATTTATGGATTTGCATATGTTTGTTTTTTCAATAAATTCAAACAAAAAAAAAGAAGAAGATGGAATGAGATAATTAAATCTTTAAAAATTAGCGATGATTCGTTTTTCCAACAATGATGGTGGAGGAAGTAGCAACGACGAACATAAGCCTCGTTTATGGTTCAAATGAATGAGATTGAGGGGGGGGGGGGTGGGGTGGCTGTAACGTCCCAAATTTCAAACCAAAATTTTCATTTAAAAATAAAAGTATTTATTTAAATTACAACTTCAAAGATCTAGATAAAACCATTTGATTCAAAGACATCTATCAGAGTATCATAAAAAATTATTATGCGCGGAAATCTCTAATGGATGCGATGCAGTCGAGCCTTACCCCTCCTTTAATATAAGAAAACCTGAAAACAATTAAACCACAAACCATAAGCAAGAAGTTGAAGGGTGCTAAGTGAAAATAAAGGAAGGGACTCGGCGAGTAGGTCTCTTGACTCGCCGAGTCGAAGCGGGTGCGTGGCACGGGGTTAAGTGGCCTGACTCGGCGAGTCGGCGGCTGGACTCGACGAGTCAGTGCTGGTCGAGGAAAAACCCTAATCTTCGGGGTTGCACCCTATTTAAAGGACTTAATGTCCTCCCCTCAGCTCCCTTAGCCCCCTTTGAGACCCAGAAACCCTAGAATCATGAGTGAGAGCCATTGGAAGCAAATTGGAGCATTGTTAAGTGTTTTGTGAAGAGATCTTGAAGATCAAGAAGCTTGGATCAAGGAGATTTGTGGAGATTCAGATTACTCTTCAGCAGGAGGTCGTTTTGGAGGTAATGAATCGTTATCCTTGGCTTTCCCCTTTCTAGATCCATTTTCATGGAAGTTTTAGGGCTTGTTTGGAGATGATATGATGAGATCTTGGTGTATAAGTTAGATCTGGAGTTGAAACTCCAGATCTGAGCTCTATTTGGATCTAAGATGCAGAAAGCCCTTTTGGTTGCTATGCAAAAGCCTTTCCCCAAGAGTTAAGTCCCTTTCTAGCTTGGTTTTTGGTATTATGGGGCAAGAAGCACGTAAAGGTAGCAACTTTATGTTGCTAATGGACTCTAGAGACCCCGATCTATTGTTTGGAGCAAAGGAGCAGCTCTGTGTCTCGAGATTTTGGGAATGCACGTATGGACTCGACGAGTCTAGGAGATGACTCGGCGAGTCGGGCTAGAGATCAGACTTTGAGTCACGTAGTAACTCGGCGAGTCGCATGGGTGACTCGGCGAGTCTTATGATGATGAGCTTGGACTCGACGAGTTGGAAGAACAACTCGGCGAGTCTATTGAAGATTGTCGTGGACTCGGCGAGTCTGTTCTTGGACTCGGCGAGTCTGGTCGCAGAACCCCTAACCCCTTTTGGTTAAGACGCAGATCAGTGAGTCGAGGGGTGACTCAGTGAGTTGGACAGGATGGGACTCGGAGATCGTTGGACTCGACGAGTCTTGGGTGACTCGGCGAGTAGACTCAGGTTATGGGAATTTCTGAGTATAGGGACTCGACGAGTCGACGGGTCGACTCGGCGAGTAGAGTCAGTCAGGGAGGTTGATTTTGACTGAGGACTTTGACTTTGACCAAGAGTTGACCAGTTTGACTTCCAAGGGTATTTTGGTGATTTTGGTATTTATGGAATTGGTTCTTTGGTAGTGTTCGGTGGTGGAGTTCGTGTCGGTGATCGGAGCAGCTGATCTTATCCTTTCAGTCGGCAATTACGAGGTGAGTTATCCTCTCTATATCGACAGGGTCTACGGCACCAAGGCCGGCCCTTTATCAGATGGAAATCCGGGTATTGTTTGTTATGTTATTGTTTTGTTAGATCTGCATCCTGGTATTTAGGATGGTGTTATGTTAGTGACCTGGTTAAGGTCGGTACCCGGGATATAGGGTAATGTTATGCTAGTGACCGGTTAGGTCGGAATCCTGGTTAGGATGTTGATATGCTATGTGATCTGTTAGACTGTTTGTCTGGTTGAGGATTGTTATGTGATTGATTGTTTTATGTGCACATGGTTGTTTGACGGGGGTTGGGTTGAGGCGGGTCCTGCTTTGTGCTGAAGGCCAACATACCCAGGGCTGACCGGATATTCCGAAGGCCCAGCGAGCGGTCCGGATAGGCTGAAGTCCCCAAGAGGGCGGACCAGACGTGCCGAGGCTCGGGGAGTGGACCAGGCCGACTGAAGGCCCGGTGCGGGCGGACCAGTCATACTGTAGACTCAGAGAGTGGACCAGGTGGATTGAAGGCCCGGTGCGGGCGGACCAATCACACTGTAGACTCGATGTACATGGCTAGACTCGGAGGGTGGACCAGGTGGACTGAAGGCCCGGTGCGGGCGGACCAGTCACATAGTAGACCCGATGTGCATGGTTGTTCTATTTATGATATGTTATGAGTGTGATATGTGTGGTTGGTATTTTGGGGGTAACTCACTAAGCTTTCGGGCTTACAGTTTCAGTGTATTGTTTCAGGTACTTCAGGAGATCGTGGCAAGGCGAAGGCGTGATCGTACCGCTCCTCATGTTTTATGATTTATATGATATGGTTCTGGGGGATACTCTGATGTTTAAACTATTTTGAAAACGAGTTGTATGAACGTAATGGTTTTTGAATGATTAAAATGTTTTAATTTGGCTCAAATTTTATGGGTGTTACAACAATTAAACCACAAACCATAAGCACAAAGCTTAGTGAGTTCCCCAAAATACCACACATAATATATATAACAACACACAGTTGTATCGGGTCCGTAACAATCCCGAGTCCATATTGACTCCGAGCCCCGGTCGGCTCAGCCGGATCCGTATCAACCCTGAGTCCATAATGACTTCGAGCCTAGGTCGGCTCCATCGGGTCCATATCAATCCCGAGTCCATAATGACTCCGACCGCAGATTGGCTCCATGCATACAACATACAAGCACATCAATAAGAGTCAAAAAGACAACATGCACAATCGATACCTAGTGTCATATAGTATTGTGAGAAGACTCACCTGAACTACTCAATAGAAGCTCAACAGCTATCCCATCAACAGATTAGCCAATCCAAGCTACTTAAAGCCAAATCGAGACCAGTTCTTAGTCAAATACTCAATGCTACCCAAGTTTGACCAAAATTCAAACTGATCAAAAAGCCAATGGTCAAAGTCAACTCCACCTGACGCCCACGTCGTGGCCAACCCATGGCTACGCCGTGGCCACTCAATCCAGTCTCGATCAAAATCTGCTACCATGCCGTTGTAGACATGCCACCACACTGTGGCAGAATCCAAGCAAAACAGTCGCGAAAAAACCCGTCTCCACACCGTGGCGAGCATCATGCCACGTCGTAGGCACGTCCGGACAAAACAGAGTTGATAAGCCTCGCCACCATGCCGTGGGCCTTCCTTGGCCACACCGTGTTTTCCGGTCTGAAAAGCTTTTCTTCAATAAGCGCTTAGTCCATAAAGACCAAAGCTCATATCATCAGATATGGTTCCTAAAAGGTTTATAATGGATAAAGTTTCCAACTTTATCCATTAGGATGGTCCAAATCACCAAGATCTAGACTTTAAATCTTAAAGGGACCAACAATGCACCTTTCTCAACTTAATCAATTAATTCCAAGTCTCCTACTTTCAGATCTGAATCAATAAGATGTCCCAAGTCTCATACTTTCAGATATGAATCAATAAGATGTCTAAATGGATAAAGTTTCCAACTTTATCCATAATAATGTCACAATCTTTCAAGATCTAAACTTTAATACACCAAAATGACCTAAAAGACCAAGATAACTTGCATGGCTAAAAAGGAAGGCAAAAGATCATAACTTTCCTAGTCCACGAGGTCCAAGAAGCATTCTAAACTGATCAAAAGATGTTGGAGTCCACTTAACTCCAAGATCACTCATAAAATGGACCAAAAGTGCCAAAAACCGCAAGTGAAGAGATCTAAAGAACTAAAGAGCAAGATTGGAACTTTATACTCACAATAGTCCCAAAATTTAGTGTCTTTGATCGGTCCAAACTTAAAACATCATTCCTTGCAACCAAAAGAACCTTCTTGATCTTTAAGTTGCATCAAAATATCATACAAAACATTTAAAAGAGGAGAAAGGAGAGGGGAGGAGTTCAAATATTGAAGATGGAGGTTAAGGTTTCTCCTAAGGGGTTATAGATATAATGGATGCTCATAAAATGGCCAAAATGTCGGAATCTTATGCTTAAATACATTGAAAACCCTAAAAATCATGGGCTTGGGCTTAACAGACTGCCACTCCGTGGCAACGTTTCTCCACTCCATGGCAACTACCACGCCGTGACAACTTGCTCACCACTCTGTGGCGACGGTTTTTCACCCAAATTGATTCCAGCTTCAAACAATCATAACTTCTTCGTTTTAACTCAATTTTCGACGATCTTTATATGCACAAAAAGATATTGGCGAGCCCCACCACCCTATATAATTACTTTTGACTTAAAACATATCGAACTAACATCATTAATTCATCCAAGAAGTCCGAGACATCACTTTTCCCATTTTACCCTTGGCTCAAAAACACAAATCAAGGGCTTAGATCACATAACCAATATTATCAATAACCAATAAGGTCTAAACCTTATTTTGTTGAAGCCCAAAGCCTTCCCATGATCGAATTACGGTCCACAATCCCGAAATAAGAAACTTCTAGAAACAGGATGTTATAGGAGCCTTGATACCATCTTGTGAAGAAAGACAAATATAGAGAACGGGTCGTCGATGTCAACGCCATCATCGACATCATTGGAGGTGACAATGGTACAGATGAAAGAGACGACATAAAAAATTAAGGTTGGAGAAGATGAAGTTGGAGGTATCAATACCTAATTTCTGTAAAGACGGGAGAACAAAGAGTGAAAGTGTATGGAGTTGGGGTAAGCCAAACTTTGTTTCCTGTTTTTTAACTTCAAATTTAAAAAAAACGATAAGATTTTCAACTCTCATGAACCCTTATTTTTTATTGATGTTAGCTGTAAAAACATATGGTATAAATTTTTAAAACCACAATGATCATTTGTGTTAAAAAAAATTCATAGACTTATAATGATAATTTTCAAAAACCACAGGTACTATTTTGTCTAAAAGTAAATATCAATAGCGGCGGGAAGATATACAATAAAAAACAATAAAATATCTCTATAAAACAAAATAGTCGGCTCATTGAGGACGTGTCACATCTTTGACCACATTCAGACCGCTGCATGGACCTACTTTGCTGATCTGGTCCAAGCGTCAGCATGTCCCCACCGGACTCCAACCCTCCACTTGCAATACCACTTAAATTTCCTTTTCAAGTCCGTATCCTCTTGCAACCCCCTATATTAATATCTTTATATCATCTCTTATCTCTCTTATTTTGCCTCTGTACCAGTTATTATATACAATTTATCCGATAACAACCTCCGATTAGATCTCTGATCTAGGTTCTTGAATAGTCAATTGCTTAATTTGTTACGAATCGTTAATTTTGAATATAGAATTTGTGTTAAAAACCTAAAATCAATCAATATGAATAATCATGATAAATCACAATCATCTGGTGATCGAGATGCCGATGATCAGCAGAAATCACCGGAAGGTTCATCATCGTTATCTCGTGGTCAGGCTTCTACGGATGCGGTTTCCGGAGATTCGTCGACAAGGAGGAACGGAAATAGAATCGGACTTGCGGCACGTTTGACCGATTTGTTTGTTGGTGATGGAGATAACGATGACGAATTGTTGATACAACGGAGCGTTCAAGGGACGGTTATGCAGTGGCTACATGCGCTTGATATGCAGGTGATGGGAGCCTGTCGTGCCGATGAGAGGTTGAAGCCCTTGCTAAAGCTTAACGTGTGTAGTGGCGTGACTGAGGATCGATTGCTGTCGCATCTGAGCCAGGTATCTGTTCGATTTAGTTATACACTTAGATAATCCCATGATGTAAGATAGAAACTATATTGTGTAGTCTTTGACATATTGTTACAAGAAACATCAAATTCTCTGAGGATATAAACGTGAAAACGGAGATAGATTATTGCAATACATAATGTGATATGCTTATCATTGATTACTGCAATATATAATGTAATATGCTGATGATTATACCTAATTTGTTTTTCTTACGCTTCTTACAGCACTTTGAGCCATCAGAAGTTGGTTTGCTTGCAAGGTGCTTGTGTGTTCCGCTTGTGTCCATTCGTGTTGGCAAGATCGACAAGCAAGGGACTCTTCTAATTCCAAACAGTAGAAGGTAGTTGCTAGTTGTAATTACTTTGTAACTTCATTACAATGCATGAAAGTATGCTTGATCTATCCATACCTTAGGTAGCATTTGGAATGTTGTTCACTTAGTTAATTGCTAACTGTTTAGCATGTTAGTTACTCGGTCTCAATTGTTAATTTGGATAATCTAGCAGAAGTTAGGATTTTCAAGCCTGGTTAAAATTTCTTTTTGGTCAGTATTATACAGGGGTTTAAGGCTCACCTCTGATAACTTTGGCTTTCCATCCTCATTCCCAGGGTACTAATAGCTGTCACTTTCTCCATTTATTGGCACTTAAAGCTTAAAGGAACGTTAGATGCATTTTAATGTGCTTAAGGATTTGGTTCTTGTTAGTAAGATACTAAGAGGTTGTAAGTGTTTATGCATAGGTTTCTAGAGTATGTTGAATTGTTTCTTTCTTGGTCTACTTAATGTGAATTGGTACTTGGGTAAGGCATTTATTTGATTGAGATTGTTGCTTTTTTTTATGTATTATTTGAAGAAATTGGGTGTCATTTGTATGACACAGGCAGGTAACCATGAAAAGATTGGTGGAATGGCATGGTTTATTTTATCAAATTTGTCAAGTTGTTATGAATATGATCTATGGTTTTCACTTTTCTGAGGTGTAAAAATATCTGCTGCAGCTGATAATTTCATTGTAGGACATGCCTATATCAGCATGCCCTAAATCATCTCACTGTTTTAATCTGTGCATCTTCCAGTTTGAGTGCAGAATCCATATACTTCACGTGTGGTATTAGAGTAAAACACATGTTCGCATATAATTACTGGTATCTACATATTATGACATTTAATGAGTAGAAGTTGTAGGCTTGTGCATATCATCTTATTAATGGTGACATGATCATCCTTCCAAATAAATATATCCTTTTCATTGTAGGTAACTGGGCGTGTTCTATTATGATCTCTGAATTAAGAAGAAGTAAAGGTAGAGTCATGCTCTTATATTGTATATCCATAAAGTTATGCTATGTTTGCTATTTGCATTGAATTCTGTGGTCCTGTATTCTATTAATTGTCTGTATATTGTCATCTGGGTCTTTCTTTGTCCTTGTTTGTTTCTTTGACTTCACAATCCAGTTTTGCTACATCTATGTTTATAAAGTTTGTTTGCTTGTTATTACTATTATTGCTATTTTTTGCTTTATAAACTTAAAATTGTCCTCACCAACTACTCTTGTTTCTCTGTGGATATTGATGTGATTTCTGTGTTCAATACAGTCTATACTCTACTGTTTATCATCTAGGACATCAGAATTAGAGCACCAGAGCCATATTATCTGAAGTAAATGCTAAATAGTAATACATATGATCTTGATTACATTGACCATGTGTCAGTGTATAGTTATGGTTTTGGTAAGTCTAATACGAGAATCAATGTGATTGATTAGTTTTGCTAATTAACTCTGTCATCACTCATCATTTATAGCTAAACTGCTCTTCTTCGATCTAACATGTCATGCGGAGTGGAGTGACTGAGTGATAGTCATAAGTTGTTATGTAGAGCTTTTGATCATTAAAATAATAGAAGTAATGGGCGTGAGGCAATCTTTAGAATGTTTAAGATAGATATTATCGGTCTTGGGAGAAGGGATCTTATATTAATAAACAACTCTTTACTCTCGTCTCCCCAATCCCCTGCTTAAGAACAATAATAATTCAAATAAAATGGTTTGAACGACAGAAGAAGAATCATAAGGCCTTTCCTTTATGTGTATCAACAGTTTTAAAATGATAAGACGAGCTTAAAATTATTAGTAAACTGTTTACTTGTATAGTTATGGTGGGTGTGTGGTTATTTTTATCTGAATACTTGATATATATGGTTTGTTGCATTGGAACAGGGGAAACTTAAGTCTCTCACTGTTGCCAACATCCGACCTGTGCATATCCTTTCTTGGAGATGATGGTGATGTGGAGCGTCTTTCAACCTTAAGAAATATCTCTGATTGCTTGTCTGTCATGATTGAGGGAATATCTGCAGATAGTTCAGGGCGATCTTTTATGATCAGGGTTCCTAGTGGTGATCCTTTTTACTTCTGGTGCTCAGAGAAGTCCAGACTTGTTGGTTATGAGTTGCTTGAGAAGGTAGATATCTTATCTAGTCAATGGCGTAAAACAAACAAACAAAAACACATGTATTACATAGAAATGGACACTGATATTGTGTGTGTGTGTGTGTACCCTGTTTTTAGATGAGGAATCTGCTTGAGAAGAAGCCTTCCCTTGCTGATTTAACTGGAATTAGTGATTCTCGGCTTAAATGTTTTGTAACTCATCTTCGAACTTATCTTGTTGGGGCAAATACTCAAGTCAGTAATAATGCTGCACATGTGTCAATAACTACTCCTTCCTCCACGACCTCTTTAGACCAACCTCTAACTCTAAGTGAAGCTGTCAATAGTTCACAATCGGCATCATCAAAGTCTTCATGTGGTAGTGGTAGTGGTAATGGCAGTGTACTCCAAGGTAGCCTGAGTCCTAGGCCAAGCTCTTTCAAAGAAGGCCCACCAAGAAACTTGGGTTCTTTGAAAAATGTTGTGAAAGAGAAATTGAGGCCAAAGGTGGAGGCTGGCAATGGCAGTGTTGAAAATTCCGAAAGCCTTTCTGCCAATACATCATCATGTCTTTCAAATCAGTCTGTTAAAGATAAGATTCCTGAGATCCACCTGTTCCCACTGGTAAGTGGGTTAGAGGCTGGTCTGACCGAGAATACAGTAGACACAGTGCCCCTGTCCCCAATTCCTTCCATCTCCATGAGCATGACACCATCTCTGTTTTCTCCATATTATTGTTGGTGTCCACCTGGACCTTCCACTCTCCAGTACACAGTGGCACCTGCACAGATGACGCCCATGTCAATGTCAATGTCAATGTCAATGGCGGACTCCTTTACCTTACCACCCCTTTCTTCACTTCTTGCAGGCTCGTCATCATCCGACCTTTTAGCAGCACCTAAACCAAGTCCTCTTAATCTGGATGAAATCCCACCTTTCCTACCTGAATCAACTTCTCAACAGTTCCCAACTTTCACTCCCCTAATGACCGATTCTATAGTGCACATCCCTGTAATAGACATTTGCTCTTCGGGACAAGCCTACCTGGTGAGTGCTGGTCCTGGTATTCCACCCCTCCACCACCACCTCCCGTTGATCCAACAAACCGATTCCATGGCGGAGAAGAGCGCAAGGGATACACTACGGCTTCTCATCAGCGGATCAAGTCAGCTGCCCTCTGTTCTAGCCACTGTCGGTGGGAACCAATTCCAAAACGGAAGCCGGGGTCTGTATGGGGGAGCTACAGACGTGAACCATGCCATTGCAAACAGCATCGCGGCTATGGGCATGGTTTCACTGAGTGACAGGAGGAGGTTCATTTACCAAGGTGATCTGGTTGATCTCCTAGGAGAAGACTCAGGTGGTGGAATTGGAACTCGTCCCAATGATGACGACCAATCAAGCTTCTCAGATTCCGCGACAGGGAAAACCCTGTAATATGAAAATATGACTGTAGATCCTTGTTTTTGTTGTTAAATTCCAAGATAAAACAAGTGTAGATATATATCTTTTTTTTATTTGTTTTTTGGGGTGCAAATGATTGTGTAACCAGACTGGAAAGCATAAGGCTATACTATGTGTTTTACTATGTACTCCTCCATTCGGTGCAACCTCTCATTCATTCAACCTATGTTATTCCTATCTTTCACCTTTCACCTATTTATTTATATTTTCAATACAAATAATAATTTTCAAATATTCAAACCTTTTTACTTACTAAATAAAATATAAAATCAATTTTAATTAAAAAGTTTCATTAATAAAAATAACATGAAATAATAATAAAAATGACATTACATAATATGATATTAATAGAAACATTACTAAGGATTACTTTACATCCCAAAATTAGATAAAATTGCAAGAATGGTCCTTGTGGTATGTCAAAACTAGTAACTTTGGTCCAAAATAGGTTTGGCTCGCAAGGATGGTCCAATAGTTTCCCTTTTTCATTTTTTTTATTACAGATGTCAAAAAAAGAAAAAGAAAAAAATCTCTCTCTCTCTCTCTCTCTCTCTCTCTCTCTCTCTCTCTCTCTCTCTCCAGTTTCAATACCCAAAGATACAATCCACCACCATCTTCTTCAATACCCTCGTCTTCTTCATAAAACCCAACTCCTCACCACCATCTCTCCTTCCAGCCACCATAAATCAACCACCAACACCATGATCAGAAATCAAGGTTTGTGCAATCATCCTTACTCATGCTCAAATCAAATATATATTCAAAGCTCACCATCAGCTCCTCACTGCCCCTTTTCTTACAGATCTGGCATGTCGCTCACCTTTGTTAGTGGGTATCTAGATTTCAAGAAGGTTTTCCGAATCGTTTCCTTCTTCAAAATCCGATTTTGTGCTTATTATCTGTAATCAATCGATGGAGGTTTTCTATTAAACGGGTTCATCCACCCTTTGATCTCTATGAATCGGTGATTAGGGAAGAGTCGGGTATCAGAAGCCATCAAATCTAACACCAAATGTTGATTTTGTTTCTAAATACATACACAAACAGATTTCTGATGTTGTTTCTAGAACTCAAGAACAACACAGATTTTTGGGGAAAAGCTCCCGAATACAAACCCTTGATTTTCTGTGTGGTTTTCGTTTCTAGAACCAAAAAAACACAGAAAACCAAATCGAAGCTTAATATATACCCAGATAGGAGTGGTTATCCAGATGTGGGACATGATGTTCGTTACATGACCGAAACCTTAATTGAAAGAAACGAATTGAATATACCTCTTATTGTTTCCCGAATGGTCTCTAGCGGTCTACTAAGAACCCAAAAAGTGAAGCTTCTTCATCCTAAGAAGTATGTGTGTGTGTGTTTTGTTGCAATGAGTGTTTGTGTGTTTTTTTTTTGTTTCTTTGGATCATTCATTCTCAGATCATGTATAATCGAACAGGAGATAGAGAAAACACGATAAACATGTGGTGATGGCTTTTGTTTGATTCTATACTGCAAGTCTGACGCAAGAGAAAACTCTCGATTTGTAGGTTTGAATCAAGAAGAAATTTGATGGTGTTTGATTTGGAGGTGTGAAAGTGATAGAGACATAGATGGTGTTCAAGAAGAAAGCACCTTCTATTTGCAGGTGAAGGTGATGGAGATGGGTTCGACTGCTGAGAGAGAGAGAGAGAGAGAGAGAGAGAGAGAGAGAGAGAGAGAGAGGAGAGCGAGAGAGAGAGATGGAGGATGAGAGATGATCTGAGCGAGATGAGAGGATGAGGAGAGGAGAGAGAGCGAGGAGAGAGAGAGAGAGATTTTATTTTTGTTTTATTTTTAATTGTTTTTTGTTGTAATAAAGAAAAATGGAAAATAAAATAATAAGGGGCAAATCCGTCATTATAAAAAAGTTCATAGGAAATTGGACTAAACTCGCAACAAAACGAAACTATTGGACCATCCTTGCGAGCTAAACCCATTTTGGACCAAAGTTGCTAGTTTTGACATACCACAGGGACCATTCTTGCAATTTTGTCCCAAAATTATAAGTTTTGAGAAATATAAAAGATTTCGATGATAAAAGTTATATAAATGTTTCACGGGGTGTCTGTTACAATTCTCAAAAAATAATACCGCTCAGTGTAATTTAAATGTTTGCGAAACAACAAAACTTTAAATGAAAGAGGCAAAACTGAAATTTCTTAGTTTTCTAAGCTAATAAGAACAATGTGCAACACCTAATGTAGAAGCTACAAAGGAAAAGCGGAATAATAAACTAACTATATAGGTGCAAAAACACGAAATCTGATCCAGTTTGAATGATCCATTCCGGTCAAAATTCGATCTAGTTTGGGGTAGATTTTAAGGTTGATTTAGAACCGTTTTAATCCGATTTTGTACTGGTCTAATCCGATTTGCGATATGTTTGACCGATCTTTAGGATGGATTTGGATCCGTATCTAGGTAAATTTGATTTATGATTGAATATCAAATCCAATTCAAGCCGTAGGATATGGATACAATTATAATCCGGTGGATCGGTTTACCCGGTCTAATTTTGATTGGTCCGGATTTTAGGTTGGATCAAATCCTTATAGGATATCCGGTTCTTTTATGCACATTTAATAAAATGACCTTTTTGTATACATTTAATTAACTGTTGTGTAAATAATTTTCTATTAAACTCACGTTTATTATTCAAGATATGCCATTTTGACCGGATATTATAGGTCTAGTTGGTTTCCAACAACCTTAGCATCTTTAGTCATCTTCTCCGGCCAACATTAGTTTTCCAGCAACAATGGTATCTCTAGTGATCTTCTCATCCCCCCCCCCCCCCAAAACCGTGCAACACCACCACTAGTAACCAACCACGTTCACGGATGCGATTTTATTGTTGTAAATACTGATTAAGCACATAAACCCTCCATCTATGTTTCTTTCTTCAATGGAGGTTTGAATCGATTTTTTTTAGATTTTGCTACATCTTTAAATAAAGTTCTAGGTTAGAGTTTGAATTAATTTTTAAGTAGGTTGAATACGGTTATACTATTTTCATAAAGTATATGCAAATTACAAAAATCATTTTAAGGACTAAATACGTAATTTTAATGGAACCATAAGGACGATTTTTTTTTGTAATTTAAATAACATCTAGAATACATTACCTATGAATAAAGCAATGGACATGTGTCAATTTTTCATTGTCTCCTAACTTGATGCCCTAGTTATTCATTTTTCATAGAACCTCTCTCTCTCTCTCTGTATATATATATATATATATATATTATATATATATATATATATATAGAGAGGAGAGAGAGAGAGAGAGAGAGAGGTTCTATGAAAAATGAATAACTAGGGCATCAAGTTAGGAGACAATGAAAAATTGATGTAATTAAAACTAAATTAACAAAAACTAAACTGAAACTTTTACAAAAGAAAAAGGAAGGTTTGAGAGGATCTTGAAGACTTGAACACTTAGAAGATTGTATTCAAAATGATGTGCTTTTATCTTTCACATTTGATGTGTATTTATACTACATACCATCCTATTCATACATCATCAAAATAGTAACTCAATAGGTAAAGAAGATTATTCAAGGGTGAAAAATTGTTCATCCACATGCTTTGTCTACACTCAATAATTTGATGGATTTTATAACACTCCTCCCTTGGATGACAATTTTTCTAATATGCGTTCAACCTTGAAGTACTACCTCGTTAAAAACCTTGTTACAGAAAACCTAGTGGGAAAAACCTTTAAAGAAGGGAAAAAAGTGCAGTGTATAGTTGACCCCTTGTAACATCCCGGATTTCAGGTATTTTTCAAACCCTTCCTTTGGTTTTTAGTTATGGCATTTTGGTCCCTTGATTGTGAGGAAGTAGCCCTAAGGATCCCTAGTGGCAAAATGGTGATTTTGGAAGGAGGGGGTGTACGCTGAGAGTACATGTGAGTACGCTAAGCGTATTAGGGCGCGCCCTAGTACGCTGGGCGTACACATATGTACGTTGGGTACGTGTGTCCGGGTGAAAAACCTAATTTTTAGGGTTTGTGGAGTATTTAAGCATCTTTATGGACCATTTACTCTCATCTTTCCAGCCTCCAAGTCCTTGAGTTGTTTTTGGAAAACCCTAACCCTCATAAGTGTGTGTGTTGAGCTAAGAGTGTGTTTCTTGTGTGCTTGAAGAAGAAGAAGTTGCATTAAGGTGATTGGGGATTGAAGCAAGCTAGTAGATCTTGGTTCATCACTTCATTTGGATGCTCCATAAGGTAAAAAGTTGCTACCTTTATTCTTGGTTTGATTGGATCTCATCTTGGTAGCTTTTTGGTGTTCTTTTTGTCCCAAAAGTCCCATTGTTATGCATGCTTTGTTCTGGACGTGATGGGCTGTCCTTTCAGACCTTAGGATGGGTTCTAAGGCATAAAAATGAGGTCCCTTTAGCTATTTTAGCTCCATGTTCCTTGTAGGAGATCTTAATGGATTAAGACCATGTATTAAGGACTTTGTGGACGTCTAAAGTCTTAAAGTTTGAGACTTTATGATTCTAGAGTACATTTGAGTCATGGATCTGAGGTTTGTGCTTAAGTGCTTAAGCCATTAAGCACTTATCAAGGTTTTGGGGTCTGCGAGGGTACGCCCCGCGTAAGAAGAAGTATGCCCCGTGTACTTGGTCAACGTCCCCGTATGCAGTCAATGCGAGGCCCGCGTACTCCCTGCGTACCTTCGGGGTACGCCCAACGTACGCCATCTGATGGGCTTTCGGACTTTGGGCTTTGAGTGTTGGGCCATCTTTTGGGCTTAAATGCTTGGGCCCTGATGAACTACCTGAGTATGAATGTTTTGGGCCAAGGGAAGAGTTAGACCTTAGGATAAGGCCCAATAAGGGGTTTGGGCCCAATTTGGAAAATTAGGCCAAGAATGGGCCTTGTGTATTTTTGGGCTTTTGGATCAGAATTGGGCCTGGGTCTTGGCCCAATTATGGATAGGGCAAAGTGGCCATTTACCATAGGTTTGGTCATTAGTCAAGGATGGTAATTCAATTGTTAATCAGATGTTTATTTGTTGTGATAATTCAGGATTTTAGTGGGCCAGCAGCCGGAGGTTTTCTGTGTGATTCGTCAGTGTGAGGTGAGTGTTCCTCACTATACTTGTTGGGTCG